TCTTCTTGTATTTCTTTTAACAGTGTTTTGTAATTTTCTTTGTAGAGGTCTTTTACCTCCTTTGTTAAGTTAGGAGTTGCTTTTTAATTGAAAACAACGTAAGACCTCTGTCTCAGCTGCCCACCATCTGTTAGGATCATTACAATGTCAGTACATCTGATGTGCCCTCCCCAGATCTTACTGAAAACCCAGATATTCAGCTTTGTGGATTTTATTTATTTATTTTTAGATTTATTTATGTATACAGAACTGGGGTACAGGCCATAAATTCAGAGGAGGTGAGAGGATTCACCAGAGAGCAGAACAGGCAGATCGATAAAGTACACTGCTGAGGGGAGCAGTGGGCAGGTCAGGAGAGGTCTGCCGGGCCAGGTGGGTCACCTCTGGGGCAAGGGGATTGAACTCACACTGAAGCAGCTGTGGGTAGCTTGCGGTGCTGTGCTTTAACCCACTGTGCCACCAGGGAGGGCCGCTTTGTGGATTTTAAAAAGAAAATGGATTCTGAGTGAAGAATACTGGACTAGTGGAATCATGGACCCACAAGCCTGACTTTTGGATTCATCTAACAGGAACAATTCCATGGCACCAGAGCAAAGACCACAGAGGTTCAGAACTGCCTAAAGCACTATGCAGAATCCTTGAATGGCTTATGTTACTTTTAATAATATTTAAAAAAAGTTTTCTCTTCCATAGGGCATCTGCCAGCATGATTCAGTCTTAGAGAATCATTACAGACTAATCATCATTATGATATGATCATATTTCAATTATGCCCTGTGTGGTCTAGGTATATTAAAGTAACTGTGAATTCTCTGAGAGAAGTTTGTTAAAATAATATGCATATGATTTTTTTTTTAATGTGTGTTGGGAAACAAGAAGATAAGTACTAAAAACAACAGAATCTTTCACAAGTTTCTCTAGCACTCATTCACAACTGTTATCTTACAATATGGCACAAAGACTGTACCTAAATAATGGCTGATTGTTTTATCCCAATTTGTGTTCCTAAGGGCTCTATGATGCACAACCCAAGAAGCTGTTTCCTTCAGCCCAAATATGGCCAGTTAGGAGCATTTGCCCATCTTCCCATTGTAAAAGGTGCTCTTAAACCCTAGCTAACAGTGCCAAAGTCTATGAAAACCATCCAGAGAAATGTGCCCAACACACCAGTTATGGACTTGCTGTGTCAATACAGGGACAGACCCTTATATGTTGGAGAAAGGAAAAGCCTCCATCCCTTGTGCATTTGTCCTAAAGAGAGAATATTAAAAAACAAATACAGCTTTATATGCAAAGGTATTCATTATTGATAATAACAAAGATTTCAGAACCCTACCTACATTCCTGACAGTGGCAAAATATTTGAAAATGGAACATTGAACATGGAATGAGAATGGAATAGCCTGTTATGCAGCCATCAGAAATTGATGCTGATTATGCAGAGTGGAAATGAGAAAAAAATGTTTTTAATATAATGTTGAAAATGTCATCTAAACTGTGATTCCGACTTCATAAAATAAGTGCACATTTAGACGAGGAAAGAAACATAAGAAGACAGTTAATGTGTCCAGGTGACTGGATTGTGGATGACTTGTCTTTATAATCATTTCTTTGATATCTGTTCTAATGTTGATTGTATAGTAAGTAAAACTGGAAGGAAAAGGAAAACACTCAAATGAGGCATTCCCATGCCAGGCAAAATAATCGGTGATGATCACTCCACCTTCTCTCCTGCTCCTTCAAAGCAACCTATGCTCTTCACACAGATGTCCGAGTCTTAGGGGGGCTCCCTGCCTGGGAAGACTCTGCTGTTTGTTTAGTGGAACGGAAACCTCAAACTAATATGTCTGCTTTGATAGCACATCTACAGTCACTTAAGCCATTTGTTGGTGTGGTTTTTCTGTGACATATATGATGCACAAAAGTCTTGGTGACAGAAAATGATGCATTTTTTTCTTTCTCTCTTCTCTCTCTCTTCCCTTCCCCTCCCCCTTTCTGCAGTTCTGCTAAGCCAATATTCTCTAGAATGAGCACAAAACAAAACCAATCAAATAACAGCTAAACAAATCAAATAACAGCTTTTGTACATCAACATCAAGAAGGAAGGCGGTTGGAAGAGCTCAGAGTACAAGATGGATATGGACAAGAGTGAAACAGCCACTGGTCAAAACACCTTCTAAATCTAGATCAGCAGAGATGAGAGTGTTTTCTGGGAAGAGATAAAACCATGGATAAAACACCAGCTCATTGGAAACTGTCATTGAATAAGATCAGATAACATTCATGAGAAATCACATTCAGGAAATCTTTTAAGGAAGAGGAATATAAATGTGCTAGAATTAACATGTAAAATATCTATGTCCTGAGGTTTGTAAACTGTCTTTTTTTAATCAAACTGAAAACAAAAAGCTTTAATCTTTCAACATTATTTTAAAAGAATGCAGCCAATCCTAAATTATTCCATCTCAGTAGCCAAGAGGCCAGTCAAGCATCATTTGTGGAGGAAGCATCTTAGTAAACACTTCTGAATGTTCCACGGGAGTGTTGGTTGCCATCTCTGCCATTCATTTATTTCACTGTGTAATTAGTTACAACCACTGAGATAGAGACCTAATGCTTCACATTTTTTACAGTCTGTGTTCAGTTCAATCTGTCCGTACAAGTTATTACTGAGAAAGTGTTTCTGACATGTACTCTTACTCCATCTAGCTGTATATTACAAGAAGGACATCTTTACATCATAGGTTCCCAAGCAATGTAGGTTTCCCTGTCTTTCAGGAAATAGCATCCAGAAACTCTGAAAAATATAGAAAGCTCATGTTCACCTTGGATGCTCACATGTAATATATAGGCTGCTATCAAATAAACACTTTTTCTAATTCTCCCTAGAATATGCATAGGACTTTAATATACTTTATAAATAGGTATCTAAGATATCTCCTTTTGCTTTCCTATTACTTTCATCCATGTCATCAAAAATCCATGTTCATTTTTGTCCTTACTGACAGGCATTCATCTTGCTTTTTAAAAGAGTCATTCCATGAACCCTATTTCTAAATGATAGTAAGTGGTACTAACAAAACAAATAATAATTTAATAGCCTTAGAAATAAATGAATATATACTTATACAAGTCAAAGAAACTTGGTAGGAGTAAGTTGCCTTTTTATTTACTAATGTTGCTTTCAAAAATAGTCAAAAAAAACTTTCAGTTGGTTTGCATTTGGGAGTAGTTACAAATGATCACTTGTCTTCAACAATCTTTGGCTCCCAGGTTTCCCCCACCACTGCCCTCACCACATCCCGCCCATATGCAACAACAGGAAAATATTTAATATTGAAGTAGACACAGCTAAAATGTACATCAGAGAAATCAGTGTAAGTTGAACCAGGTTCTAGCCTGAGCAGAAAGAATGGGTATATGGGATCTCTCCTTCAGAGGCTCAAAAGTAAGATTAAATCTGCAAATATCGCTGGAACAGATGGAAGGTGATGTAAGAAGGGATAGAGATCACGGCGAATTCTCTTGCTATTTCTCTTTTAGGGCCATATTCCTATTTTAGCCAGATGTTTCTGGCACTAGCTGTCTTTTCACCATAAGCAGGTTTATGTTTCAAACCTGTTATATATTACAGCTATGCTCCAATGAATGAAACCTAATTCACAAAGATACGAATTTTAAAAAAAAAGACACAAATTACAGTAAAACTTATTGCTAACTGAAGTATTAGCTGTTCTGGAAGTTATCTGTTGCTTTAAAATTAGCTCTCCCACTGCATTTAAAATACACTTCTTACTAAATTTAATTACACACAACTTTTCAAGAATCCATCTTTTATTTGAAGGGAGGTACCTCTCTGCTTTATCTACAAAAAAATTAGAAAGTATTTATTGACTTTCTCTGATCCATGTAAATTACAGATTCCATTGGGAGTCCTGCATCACTAATAATATAATAGTGATGGTTACAAAAATGAAACAGTGCTTCCTAGCCACATGCAAATGTTTTTAAAAAGTTTTATTTTCCCATAAAAACTGAGTATAATTTAGCATACCACAGTGCTCTGAAAGTGGGTCATCGACGATGTACCATTTGTACATAGGTAATACATGTGTAAATCACTAAATGTTTAAGTATAAGAAGTATGTTTTTATCTTTTTTTAAAAAAAAAAAAAGTTACTCCCTTTCTCATTCTGTTCTGTTGTATTGCGTCCAAAAGTTGTGTGTAATTTTTTAAGGTCCAGGAAATGTAAAGAAATTTGTTGGAATATCTGAATTTCTGTAAAAAATAAAAATAAGATTTTGTTACTTAAGAGGTTGTTTTGTGTAGCATATCTTCAGTGCATTCAATGTGTGTCTTTGTCCAATGATCCAGTGGCAGATAATGATTTGACTAAGTAATTATCTTCAGAAAATCTCCTTGCCACCATATTCCATTATGTTTGCCAAAAGGAGACATCTGCAGGGCTTCGTGCAGAAGGCATGATTAACATCTCCAAAGCCACTACTAGCCATATAAAGACATACTTCAAGCAACGTTTCAATATACCCCCATGGAATGAAATTGATATTAAGTAAATAGCCAGACTGTTCAAGCAAAACTTGACCCAAAATATCCAATTAATTGTTCAGACTTCACTTTGCAAATTGAAAACAGCTGCCTGTTCCTCAGATGTGTGCAAACCCTTTTGCAAAATTTCATACTGAGCATGTGTTGTCTTGGTGGGTACCAATACCAGTGCCTTTATTCACAATATGATTATGAACAACTCGAGGTCCTCATCTATAACGTGGACACAAATAATAACACTTGACCCCAAAATGTTGTTGTGAGAATATAAATTAAATAGTAGAGTTGTGCATGACAGGTAGGAGATATTCAATAAACGCTCATTTCTTTCTTTCCTATTATATGGATGGCATGAAAGAAGAGAAACATAAAATGTAGCTTTGCTCTCAAAATGCTGAGGATAATTAGAGAGACATTTATGAGCAGGATTGAAATCTCATATGCCTATCATGACCAGGTAGACAATAAATTAACAAAGCAATCTGGGTTTGGGAGATAACAGGAAGGAGAGGGCACTGTGGAGCACTGGAGGACCTAGGTCATGTCTAGAGAGAATAAATGGTCAAAACTTGGTTGTAGTCACTCAGCAAATAAGTGCTGACTCCCTACCATGTGCCAAAAACTGTCCTGAACCGTGAGGAGGTAGTGGTAAACCAGATACACAGATCGCTGCTCTTATAGGTCCCATGTCCCAGTATGAAGAGACAGCTGATAATAGGCACTCTAGGGAGAATTACAACACAGTGGTGTGGTAGAGAAATGGAGATACTAATCAAGGAAGGCCTCTGAAAAGGTGGCATTTAGAGTAACACCTGAGTAATAAGAGCAGAAAGAGCTTCGCTCCTGACAATCACTCTAGTGCAGATTTAAACTCTAAATATGTTTGAGGACCAGCAAGGTGACAGAGGTGGGTGCCTGACTGAGTCAGGAACAGGCTCTAGATTTCCAAAGTCAGGAATGTTGGAATTTATAAACCAAGATGGCTTGCACATTTTCAAGTGTGAGAAAAATTCATTTTGGGGTCTTTTTCAAAAAAATTTATTTTTATTCACTTAGGCATACAAACACTAGGGTGTAAGCCAGAGGTGCAGGGAGTGAGAGGATTCACCAGAGACTGAGTTGGGAGCAGAACAGGCTGACTAACAGTGTACACTGCTGAGGGGAGCAGCAGAGACAGAGAGGTCTGCTGCACCATGTGTGTCACCTCCCTAGACAGGGATCAAACTCATGCTGCAGTGGCTGGTGATAGCTTGATAGCTGAGACTTTAACCCTTGGGTCACCAGGGAGACCCTCATTTGAGGATCTTAAGAGAGCTAATAGAAACTATGTTACATTATTGAAAGATTATTCTTGTTTCTGCTTTTAGAGTATCTAATTCTTCCTTATATAATACTAGCATGTCTCTGGCAAATTACAATGAGATCATTACTTTTATCCAATTACATTTATTGAGGTAAAGTTGGTTTACATCATTTTATTTGCTTTGGTTTATTTTTTTTATTTTAATTTATTTAGTTATGCATACAGAACTGGGATACAGGCTAGAGGCCCAGGGGCGGCAAGAGGATTCACCAGAGACAGAGTGGGGAGCAGAACAGGCAGACTGGCGAAGTACACTGATGAAGGGAGCAGCGGGCCGGTCAGGAGAGGTCTACTGTGCCATGTGGATCACCCCCAGGGTGGGGATCGAGCTCATGCTGAAGTGGCTTTAGCTTCTTAGTGCTGTGCTTTAACGCAATGCGCCACCAGGGAGGGCCCAGGTTTATTCTTAATATAAAGCTTTTAAGAAATGAAGAGAAATCCCCAAAGATATTTTGAAAAGTAAAAATAAACTAAAAATGTAAACAAAACACAAACTGGGATTGCCTGATGGCAAATCTATGTATCAGAATAGAGAATGGGTGATTAGGCCTTGAGCCATGGAAGCGGGCAGCTAAATTTAAGAATCTCACCCTAAAATAGGACACTTGAAGAGGTCTGTAACCTTAAGCAAGGGTGGCCCAGGGAAAATATCCCGCTAGAGGCCCTCCCTGGTGGTGCAGCGGGTTAAAGCACAGCACTGGGAAGCTAAAGCCACTTCCGCATGAGTTCGATTCCCGCCTGCCCCCGGAGGTGACCACATGGCGCGGCAGACCTCTCCTGACCCGCACGCTTCTCCCCTTGTCAATCTGCCAGTTCTACTCCCCACTCTGTCTCTGGTGAAGCCTCTCAAAGCCCCTGAGCTCTGGCCTGTACCCCAGTTCTATATGCACAAATAAATCTTTTTTTAAAAAAAATATCCCTCTAGAAAACAAAAGAAGGCTGGGGACACTCCACTCTGTCTCTGGTGAGTCCTCTCACCCTCTGCATAAATAAATAAATAAATCTTAAAAAAAAAAAAGTGATTATGTCAAGTGCTGCTGAAAGGTCAAGTGAGACCAAAGCAAATACAAGACCACTCGATTTGGCAACTGTAGAGGACATGGTGGTGTCAACTAGAACAGACTTTGTGAAACAGTAAAAACATAAGCAGTGAGTTAGGGGAAAGTTGGAATCAAGAGGACGGAGAAAGCAGCCTAGAGAATTTTTTTTTTTTAGACTTATTTATTCATACAGAACTGGGGTACTGGCCAGAGATGCAGAGGGTGAGAGGATTCACCAGGGACAGAGTGGGGAGCAGAACAGGCAGATCGACGAAGTACACTGCTGAGGGAAGCAGCGGGCGGGTCAGGAGAGGTCTGCCACGCCATGTGGATCTCCTCCAGGGCAGGAGGGGATCGAACTAATGCAGAAGTAGCTTAAGCTTCTTTGTGCTGTGCTTTAACCCGCTGCGCCACCAGGGAGGGCTGCAGCCTAGAGAATTTTGACAGCAGTGAATTGTGGCATTGAATCTAAGAGACCTGGCTGCTAGCTTTTCTAGTTTCTCAAGATAATTGTTTCTAATACAATCAGATAACTGGAAACACTATTATACATAGTGCAGACTCACACGTGAGAGTCTAAAGCTCATCTAGGAGTCAGGTCCAGCCAGTGGGTCAGGAGTTTCCAGCTTTCACTGAGAGGGCTTAAAAGCAAACTAATTATCAAGGCAAAACATGCCGTATATAGGTCATTGACTCGGGAACTCTTGGGGAGACTGGAATGGGTAGAGCCTTCAAATGGACTGTCTCAGGATCTAGGTAGGGGAAGTACAAAGTAGAAATGGATAGCAAACCCCTATGCCATGTACTCTACTCTGCAACCTAGCATGTATCCGCAGTAATACTCACATTTGGGTTTCTGTCTGGTCCTAATATTGATGTTAGTTGGGGTGACGGAAGGACAAGTTATAAATGGCTTTTAATTCCAGCTATTTTGGAGTAGTTAATAGGAATTTCCAATGACAATGTTTGTACAAGGGAAAGGTATAATCAAAATGAGATTTTAACAGGATTATTTCTTCAACAGTGAGCAGGAGAGAATCAAGCAAGGCTAGATTCTCAGCAGAAAGTGCACATAGGCAATCTTCTGGTCATGGAGTAGGAGACTAACAGTTTAAAGACAGTTGAGGGTGGGGCAGGAGGATGAGAGCAAATCTACATTATTAGAAAAGCTACAATATTTCCAGGCTGCCTGATTAGAAGGTTGTGAATGGGAAGGCAGTGCCAGTGACATTTGAGTCAGGTGAGCTGATATGATAAAATCAAGAACAGCCAATATTTGCAGAGCACCATAAAGCTTACAAGTCCATTATCTCATTTGCCCTCAAATAGCCTTGGGTGTTATGCCCACTAGCAATGAGGAATCTGAGGCTCAGAGAGACTAAATGAGATGCCCACAAGGACTCGGCACAGTGCTGCCCAAAGGTGTGCTCACACTGGGCTTTCCAATGACACTTAAAAAGACTTTGTCTCTTCATCTTGGAAAGAGTCATCCTGTGTTTGCCTTCCGAAAGTCATGACCTGAAAACTCAGTTTCTTGGAGGGATTCCATTTACTTAATTTTGGTTCCCTATGATGCTTCTAGAAAAGACAGATATTACATATTATCTCTAAAGAGAAAAAAGAAATTGTTTTTTAAGTCAGCTTCCATTTTGAGAATATTTAGTGTCCAGTACAAGTGTACTGCCTTTCCTGAAATAAAACATCAATTCTCCTACCTGGGTAGGATACCAGTTAGGTCATTAAAATTCATCCTGCAAAAGCCAAACTTCATTGAACCCAGCTGAATAGAGTGAATGCCTTTACACCTCCCTTCTCACTGCTACACATTCCCTCAAATAAAAAGCCAGGAATTCCCTCCTAATAAGTGAAAAAAAAATTTTAAGATTTATATATTTATGCATACAGAAGGGGGGTACAGGCCAGAGGTGCAGGGGCAGTGAGAGGATTCACCAGACACAGAGTGGGGAGCAGAACAGGCCAACTGACAAGTAAATTGCTGAGGGGAGCAGCGGGGGGGCCAGGAGAGGTCTGCCGTACCATGTGGTCACCTCTAGGGCCGGGATCGAACTCATGTTGAAGTGGCTTTAGCTTTAGCTGTGCTTTAACCTGCTGTGCCACCAGGGAGGGCCAATAAGTAAAATCTTTTTAGTTGTCTCAACCAGAAGTTGATATGTCCAGGGACTCAGATAGAAAACCAACCTGTGGGTCAATTTTTTTAAGATTTA